GTGCCTTTGGACGAATCCCTGCACTTCTTGGCACCGGTCTACTCATGGAGACTGTGGAGATCGTGATGGGGGTACCACATTCCAGACCCATCAGGAGGTTGGGGAAGGGGCTGATTGGAAAAACACTGGGTAAATGAGAAACACACAGCAAATGTGGCTCATCGTGGTTGCTATGGCTACACAGAGGGCACCATCAGGAACCACACTCCCAGCTGTGAGCGCCCATACTCCCAGCTGCGAGAGCCCATAAGGCAGAAACCATGGCTTCAGCAAAGCAGGTGGGTTGCGCCCCTCCTGCTTCGCATCACAGAGCACATGAGATGGAACTTTGGAAGCAAGGGAGCCCACAGCTCCTGGGTAGGACCCAGAGGGGGGAAAAAGTACAGCATAGACAAAAACGATGTGATTACTCTGAGCACCATGAGGACGGAAACCCAGTGGTACAGGAGGCATAGTGGGTCGCAGCTGTGCCTCCTAAATATAGCCTGACTTCCACTCCCCATGGAGCTGGGGAGTCTGAGCTGGCTTCCAGGGGAGGCTCTAAAAATAAAGCTGCCAGCAGGCCTCTGGTTCTCCTCACCTCCTCAGGGCCTACAGGCTGAGTCTGCACCTGGGGGCTGGACCGTGGGCTGCCTTCTGAAGACACCTGATCCTCTGGACAGAAGTCAGTGAGTGGATTCCGTGTCCTGACTTTCGTCAGGTCAGGAAGCATCTGGATTTGGCCATGTGTTGTCAGACACCTCTGCTCATCTGCAGGAGCCATCCTTCCCGTTTTGTTGAGGAAGACATGGAGGCTGCTTGGTGCCGTGACACGAGGTGGCCAGTGTCAGAGGAACAAGAAACAGTCGAGTCAAACATTGTTGAACCTCTCTAGACCAGTCCAGCCGATTAGTTTTCAAATGTTCACTAACATTATTGACGTAACTGTGGGTTTTGTTATGACCTTTTCATACATACATGATGTATTTGATCCAATCTGCTATCCCCGCCCCAGTGTGCTTTCTTGTCCCCTCCCGCTTCCGCTGATCACCTTTCTCTTCCCATGAGTGCCCCCTTTTCTATTCTCCTTTCATATCTGGTTTTTGTTTGGTTTGTGTGTTTTTCTTTTTCAGAGCTGAGGACCGAACCCAGGGCCTTGAGCTTGCTAGGCAAGCGCTCTACCACTGAGCTAAATCCCCAACCCCAAGTTTGTGTTACCTTCCTAGTGGCTATATTCCTGAAGACAAAGCCACTGCCTCCCTTAGCAACCACTAATTGCCCCTCCATCTGTCAGAAGGAGTAGAACCTTGTGAGTCTCTCCCGCCACTGTGACAGCATGGCCATGGGCCCAATCTCAGGCACGTCATGTGCAGATGACCACGGCTTCTGTGGCAGCTCCGAACAGTCCGCCCCACCCTTAGGCTCTTCCCTCCTTCCCACCTCTCTCTCTGCAATGTTCTTGGAGCCTCGGAGGGGTTGCCACAGATGTGCCATCCTGGGCTCAGCGTGGAACAGCCCCTTACTGCAGCACTTAGAGCAGTTCGTGTGTCTCTGCAGTTACTGATGTCCCTGGTGTAGAAAATGGAGCCTCTCTGACTAAAGATAACAGCGGCGCTAGTCTGTGGGGAGACACATAATTACTTAGAAGTCATTTTGACAGTGGCCAGCCAATTCTTACACCAGAGAGACTACCTGTATCTCCTGCATACTCCTTTTTTACTGCCTTAGCCTCCCTATCCCCACCTCACCAGAGTCCCAGGTCACCCTAGTCTTCCCTAGTCTGATGAGAGATGTGGAACTCCAGGGGCAAGAGATTATCTGTGTCTGTTCTCTCTCCACTCAGCTCTTAGAGTCATGCCCAGGCAGCTATTCAGTTTTTGTCGACTACCTAACTCCCTTCTCTGTCTCTTACCCCTCCCACCTCCAACCCATGACAAATCCAAAGTCTCTGCCCTCACTGTATATCCAGAGCACTCACTGGAATGGCTATCATAGAAAGACTGACTGTCCCAGGTGTTGGGGAAGAGGTGGGGAAGAAAATTCTCATGTGATCTCTGAGGGATGGTTAAAAAAAAAAAAAAAGCCAGTCACTCTGGAAAACAGTGGTAAGACAGTTGCCTGTGGTGTTAAATCCATCCCTACCATAAGAGTCAGCCAAATACAGCTAGCCATTACCCAAGAGAAAAGAAAGCAGACGTCCTCACAAAAACAGTTCAGGGCAACTTGAGATGTAATTACCCTCACCCAGAAACAACCCATGTGTTCATATCCTGGAGTATGAAGGAGTGAACCGTTGACACACACAATTGATGGGTGAGTCTCATACAGATAATGCTGAATAGGAGAGAGGGGAAGTACATGCTACGTGATTCAATCCATACAAAATTCTAGAAAATGCATATGTATATGAATATATGTCTTATATATCACTAATAACAGAAATTGAAGACAATACAGACCCTATCTTAGGGTAGGGCCACCCATCTTAGACCACCTGCTGTACTCAGTTCCAGAAAGGACCTCAAGAATATGCCATAACAACTCAGATAGATACAGGGCAGTATGCTCCTGCAGACATCCTGTCTGGGGTTTATGGCCCTTGAAGGTATCTAGATAACCCTGCTGAGCAGCCCAGATAATCCTGTTCAGCAGGTTGTGGTTCCCCACCAAAAGTCTAACCCAATGGTTTCAAATGTGGTTTCCTGCCCAAAGTCTAGACCAATAGTTTCAAAAAATCACCTTGCCCCTTATCCCTTCTACCCAATCCCAAGTTGCCAATTCCTGGCTTGTGGTTTTTCCCTATAAAAACTCTCTACACCTGGGCTTGTGGCTGCTGCCACATTTCCTTCCATCTGCTGTGCGGTGGCCCACATTGAACTTGTCAATAAAAGGACCCTTAGGTGCTTGCATTGGAAACCGAGTCCTTGGTGGTCTCTGGGGGTTTCTCAAAATGAGTATAACAAAATAAGACCAGTGATTGTCTGGGCCACAGAGGGGAGGGAAGGCAAGGGTTGGTGTGGATGAGCAAGAGGGAGGGAACCAAGGAGTAAGGGATGGTGGAAATGCTCATTACCTTGGGTATTGGGGTGACGTTACAGATAAATGCATATGTTAAGCTCATCAAATGTGCATTTTAGGTGTGGCTTCTTTATGTTGATTAGACTTCGACAAAGTTGTCTTCTAAAACATAACTCAAGCTCCACCATGTCTCACCACTTCTGCTATTATCCATCCTGGTCCAAGGTCCTCCACCATCTGATTGCCTCATCCTACTTCCCCCAGCCCTGCTGAAATGCCTCTGTCACCAGAACATGTCGTCCTCTGTGCAGTAGGTGCTGTGGCTCCCCTGTGCCCTGCCCACCTATTAGGAGTTTTGTTCATTGGCTGATAATAATTTGTGGTGATATTGTGTCCCCCAATATATTGTGCACCCTAATAAACTTATCTGGGGTCAGAGAACAGAACAGCCACTAGACAGATATAGAGGCCAGAAAATGGTGGCACACACACCTTTAATCCTATCTTTCTGGAGGCAGAGATCCATCTGGATCTCTGTGAGTTCAAAGCCACACTAGAAACAGCCAGACGTGGTGACAAACGCCTTTAATCCCAGGAAATGATGGCAGGAAGCAGAAAGGTTTATAAGGTGTGAGGACCAGGAACTAGAGCGTTTTTAAGCTTTTAGCTTTTAGCAGCAGTTCAGCTGAGATCCATACAGATGAGGATTCAGAGGCTTTCAGTCTGAGGAAACAAGATCAGCTGAGGAATTGGCAAGGTGAGGAAGCTGTGGCTTGTTCTGTTTCTCTGATCATTCAGCATTCACCCTAATACCTGGCTCTGGGTTTGTTTTTATTAATAAGACCTTTTAAGTTTCATGCTACAATAATTCACAGATACCCCATCTCTAAAATCTGGCTCTTGGCCAACTACTATTCACCTGCCAAGGAGGTTCCATCTCTCACTCAAGGGCTATAGGTAGCTGCTTTGAGATATGAAGGTCCAGCAGATGATTCTGTTGTGGAATTTATGGGAAACCTAGACTAACTTACTGAGTTCCTTCCTCTATCCTATCCTAGTTCACTTCCTGCAAGCTGCTCCTGGTGGTGGTGGTGGTGGTGGTGGTGAGGCTTTCTCAGTAAGTGCCTGCATTTCTTAGATGCAGAGAATCAACCTAAGAGAGCTGGGACCCAAGTGGTCCTGGGAAGCTAACCTAAGAAGAGGATTCTAGGAAGAGTTACTCACTTGGAGATAGGTAGAGAATTGTATGTTCAGAGTACTTGGTGGCATTGCAGTACAATTGCTTCTACTTGTATGTGGGTGTGTATATGTGTGTGCATGCATATGTGATAGAAAAAGATAAACATAGAAAAATATAGATATATTTATATATCTAGACGATAGAGATGTATAGTTAAAAATATAGATGATATAGCTATAGATATAGATATGTTTGTGTGTATGTATGTGTGTATGCAGGTGCATGCATATGTGCATGTGACCAGACACGTGGAGGCCAGAAGTCAATGTCAGGGGTTTTCCCCCCATTACTCACTTTGTTTTATTTTATTTTATTTTATTTTATTTTTTAAAAATTTATTTATTTATTTATTTATTTATTTATTTATTTATTTATTTATTTATTATGTATACAATGTTCTGCCTGCATGTATGTCTGCAGGCCAGAAGAGGGCGCCAGATCTCATTACAGATGGTTGTGAGCCACTATGTGGTTGCTGGGAATTGAACTCAGGACCTCTCGAAGAACAGCCAGTGCTCTTAACCTCTGAGCCATCTCTCCAGTCCAATTTATTCTATTTTTAATTGTGTGTTTAGGTGTGTATATGCACGAGTGTGGGTGCCTATGGAGGCCAGAGATTTCAGATACCCTGAAGCTGAAGTTATAGGTAGTTATGAACCACCAGATGTGGGTGCAGGGAACTGAGCCCAGGTCCTCTGGAAGAGCAGTATTCAGCTTTAACCATTGAGCCATCTCTCCAGTTGTTGTTTGTTTGTTTTTTGAGACAGGGGACAGTCTTCATCCAGACCACCAGCCTGCCTTGTTCATGTGGAACGTGGGAAGAACCACCTCTTGCTGCAGTGTTAGCTGAGGACATTCATGGTCACATCGGTCACCTTGTCACATTCTCTAGGTTGGACAACACATCAGCTTCTGTGACTCCAACTACGCCACAGAGAATGAGCCAGTGGACAGTCTCCATGCATCTTCTTCTCTTCTTCGTTCAGAGGTGGTATGGCTTGCCTGGGAATACCTGAAAAGGGTGGGAGCACCCCATGTCTTCCTTTATGGTCAAAGCTGTCCTTTGGATGAAGGGAAGGGACATCTTTACCTTCTTTTTGGCAGTGCTGGGGATGGAACCTGCAGCTTCGTGCACATTAGGCAGGTGCTGTGCTGCTGAGCTGTATCCTCAGCCCCTTGGTGCCATCTCAATGGGGAAGTCCTTCATCTTCCCTCGGCTGCTGGTATTTCCAGAGGACAGAAATCCAGGAAAGAGGGAGGCTTGGTGACTTGGGTGGGAATCTTCCCAAGAGACTTCCACCTGACTAGAGATGGCCAGTGTATGGGAGATGCAGGTCCTACCAGGTGGCAGGAGAGTGAGGTCTGAGGCAGGGGTCTTCTAGGGTGACCTTTTATATCTGGGTAATTTGTCTAGTCAGGTAGTGGAGAATGGGAGGTGACTGTGCAGCCAGGACCTGCCCTTCTGGTTCCAAGCCCGTGGGAGTGGGCTTGGCATTATTCTAGGTGATACAAATCAACTAGACTCTGTTTGCTGTCTGTGAGGACTCCGCTGGCCTTGGGGTGGGGCTAGCTCTGGATTGTGCGTAGTGACATTTAGGCTGTCTGTCTGTCTTCTTCCGGTCAGTCTTAAGAGAGGCAGTCTGGCTTTGGTCTAGGTCTTTGGGGGAGTGTCCTAGCTGGCTCTGTGGAAGGTAGTGTGGGAGTGGGGAACATCTCTGGATGCTTCAGTGTCTCCGGGTGCACAGAGACAGCAGTGACCCCTCCAGAACAGTGGCCACTCTGCCTAGCTGTGAATGGCAGGAAGGTGGGTTCCTTCTGAGCTGCTGCAGGCAACAGCTGGTGTGTGACCCTGCAGCTTCTCTAGTCTACTGCAGTGACAGAACAGGCCCGCGGCTCCAGGTGCAGGCTTCTCAATCTGCCAGAGTCCCTGGGTGACGGTATGGAGCAGAGCCCTCCTCAGCATCAAGGCGGTGGAGCAAGGTATGGCCTTTGTGGTTTAATCTGGGGATTTGGGGGTTATTTCCACAAGGAAGCCTTGGAAAGCTGGTGATGATGCTGTTGGAAGACACAGATGTCATTCAACTCCATTTATGTCATATTCTAGAAATAGAGCCCCAACAAATAAGGCATAGATGCCCAATGTGGCTAAGTAACATATGTAAGGACATTTTGTTCAGGAACACAGCCATACCTGATAACCTTTGTTTTAACAAGTGGTGTACAAATAAATTATTATTATTTTTTAACACAGAGCATCCCATTTGTCTACTGACTTTGCTCTGCTTCTCAGTAATCTGGTACTGAGCACCACAGTGAGTGGAAGCCTCTTTGCCGTTGTAGTCAAGCATTCAGTGTCAGTCAACAAACATTCAGAAATGGCGGGAGAGCCTTCTCTGAAGTAAGAAGGGGGTTGGATCCTCAGATGAAGCCAGAACTTTTATTTTCAGAATGTATTTATTTACTTATTTAGTGTGCAGGAGTGCTTTGCCTGCACAGATGTATTTGCACCACATGTGTGTCATCCTTGCCAAAGCCAGAAGAGGGCATCGGGTCCTCTGAAACTGGAGTTACAGAAGGATGTGAGCCGCCTGATGTGGGTGAGCCGGCTCTCCAGATCTGCAACCAGAGCTTTGTAAGGAGGACCAATGACAGCAGAAGGAGGCTTGCTCTTTGCTCTGTTTCGCAAACGGAAAGTTTCTTATGTTGGAGGTTAAACAAATACTGATGTTGGGTATTTGTGGGTACATGTGTTCTTTGGTGTGCACATGTTTTTGGTGTGCCTTTGGACATGTATGTACTGTCTGTATTTATATATGTGTCTTAGTTGCTGTGAAGAGACACCATGACCACAGAAACTATTGTAAAGGAAAACATTTAATTGGGGCTGGTTTACAGTTCAGAGGTTTAGTCTGTTATCATTGTGGCAGGAAGCATGACGGCATGCAGGCAGACAGGGTGTTGGAGAAGGAGCTGAGAATTCTGCCTCTAGATCCGCAGGTAGCAGGAAGAGACAGTGACATCAGGCCTGGCTTGAGCATTTGAAACCTCAAAGCCTACCCCCAGTGACAAACTTCCTCCAACAAGGCCACACTACTCCAACAAGACTGTACCTCCTAAAAGTGCCACTTCCTGAGAGCGTATGGGGGCCATTTTCATTCAAACCCACCACAACATGTTACTTTGATCAACCTATAACCAATTAGCTAAGTTTTTAATGACCTTTAATTATTTTATGGGAATGAAGAGAATAAAGAAAACCATGAATAGATTTCATAGAATCATGAACATTTTAATCTTCTGGATTTCTTGAATTTTGATGATTCTCAGTCTTTTATACCTTTATATTGCATCAGTTTATTCTCAGAATGCATTTATTATGTACCTATTGTGTTCAAGGGTCTCAGAGGCAAGACACCAATGACCTTGAGGAGCCTGGAGCTTCCTGGGGTGATGAAGACAGAAAAAAAAAACACACCTCCGTGGTATAGAAACATATGGCAAACATATCATAAGAGGATTCTCCAGAAGCCTGGGACTATTCAGGAAAGGGATTTGGGTCAGGCAGGTGTTGGAGAGGATGAAGCATTGGGACCCACTTAGGTTGGTAAGGCTGTGTAGATCTTGACTCTAGATTTTGGGAGACTCTTCCTAAGACACACAATGGGCTGGAGGGAAGGGGTGAAATTACCAAATGCAATTCCATCAGGAGGTTGAAACAGAAAGGCAATTACAGGCTCAGCTCAGCCCTGTCACCCGGCAGGTGCCAGTCCCTGGGACCATTTATGGAAGGTTCTCCACTGATGAGGGTGCTCTTGTCTGTGCCTGGTGTGTGAGGCAGAAACACCCCCACCTTTCTCCAGCTCCATACTCCCCTGAGGACTCCCCTTCTGCACATGGTGGGCTTGGGCCTTTGCACCCGAGAGGGGTGCTGCCTGTCAGCCAGGAAGACATGTTCACAGCGTGCCGTGCTGTGGCCCCACAGAGGCCTGGTTCCAAGAGGATTGAAAATGTAATCACAACAGTTTTTATTAGCAAAAGAACAGCAGGGTCCCTTCTGCTGTCCATATGGAGAGATCCCGATGGGTATTCATGAAGCAGTTTGCCACGGGAACAGCCGTGCTTAAAACTCCTCGTCCAATTACCTTTGAACTTGCCTTTTTTTTTGCTGCTGCTGTTGCTGCTGCTGCTGTTGCTGCTGCTGCATGCATGCATGCATGCAAAATGTCTCACGTTTTGTTTCTACCAGAGAGGGGGAGGAGCCTGTCTTCCTCTGTGTGGGGTTACACTGTTCTACTCAGCCTCACGTGTCCTGTATAAAACCATCCAGCTGACTGGGTCAAATCACAGCTCCTGGCAAGGCCTCTCAGGACTGTTGGGACGCCGGTGACAGGCTGAAGAGCTTATTGGTTGGTGCATTGCTTCCTGGTGCATGCTGTCTCACTATAGGACAATTGTGACCATCATACCCTGGAATCTCAGAGTCTTTCCTGATTCAAAATACTCCTTTCCATTCATCCTAGTGTACCAAGGGGTACATAGCAACAACAGACTAGATTCTTGGAGAGACAGTAGCTTTTTTTGTTTTGTTTTGTTTTGTTGTTTTTGTTTCTAGAGGGAAAGAATAAACTAGAAGCAAGGTTAAAACAGAAGCATGTCCCTTCAGCATGTGATCAGTGCCAAACTTTGAACTTCATTGTCTTGAAGAGGACAGAGAAAGGGGCTCATACAGTCTGAAGCCAGCACCCTGAGTCCATGACCACCCACAGCTGGAGGAGCATCCAGCCAGGCAAATGCCACTTGATCATAGGGTGTTAGGACTGGGCACATCTGTCCTGGCACCCAGCTGTGGGAAGTCAAAAGGACAGCGGCCATTGTGCCTGCTGCACTGACCACCTTCTAGCCAGAGGTCTTTTCCTTGGGGGGTTCCATGCTCTCCTGCTTTTAGGGACAGGGGACATTTTAAGCAGGTTTTCTTCCTCTGCTCCGGGGGATGTGGTGAACCCAACATTGATCTACTTGGAATGGGTCTACTTAGGGTGAGAAGGGGCTGACTGGGGTCTTTGTGCTCTCTTTATATGCAGGGCTTCCTTTCAAGCAGGGGACGTGAGTTCTGGAGGCCTGCATAGTCACCCAGGGTCACCTGGGACAAAGATGTTGAGAACATCACCATTTGGACCCAACAGTGTTCAAGTGACATCATCTCTACCCCTTTGACCCCAAATCGACAGCCTTTCTTTTGTACTTAGGTTGCCGAGGGAAACTTTCAGGCTAAAGATTCAGCTAGATGATTCTCTTTCCCAAGAGCTAGTAGTTCTCTCCTCCTGCTTTTTTGTTTTCTTTCTGTTTTTAATATATCACTTACAGCTTCCCCTTCCCGGCCAGGGCAGGCCTTCTCACATGGCTGGAGGGTAGTTAGCCTCTTCCCCTGGTGTGGTGGCCCATTTGGTCATGTCAGATGGAGCTGTCCACAATCCTGGCTCAAGGGAGCGCCTCATTAGATCATGCTAATGATCCCGTGGCATGTATTTCCAGGCTTTCTCTGCTTCCCATCACTGAAGACAGAACCACCTCAGGTGGGCTTTGGAGTCAAACAGCCCTGGATGCTTCTGCCACTGTCATTTCTAGCAGTGAGAACTGAATTTTTAGCAAGGTATGAAGCCAATCAGTGAAAGGGCAGGTGGTCTTTTGAAAACATGTGATGGTGGAGTAACAGAGTACCCATATCCACAAATTAAGATTTGACCTCTAACTTGAATAATTAGGCAAACATCAGGTCAAAGTGGATGCTAAATCTAAATGTAAAACCAAGAAAATATTAACGGCCGTGGTTTAGGCAAAGTCCTCAAATATAATGCCAGGAACACAATCCACCAAATGGAAATATCAACAAATTGGACTTTATTTAATTAAAATCACCTTTTAGTCATTGAGTGATCCTGTCAAGAGAATAAAAAGATGAGCCACAAGGCTGGAAGGCAATGTGTATAATTTGTGTGTTTGATGGAGGACTTATATCCATGTTACAAAGATTTCAACAATAATAAAATAGCTCCATTAAAATCAGGTTGAATGGAATTTCTCTAGAGGAGAAAGGCACACAGATAATAAGAACACCATAAGATGCTAAATAAATATTCATGAGGGAAATGCACATTGAAGCCACAGTGAGGGGCTAAAGGGATAGAGATAGCCCAGTGGTTCAGACCGCTTGCTGTTCTTCCAGAGGACCTGAATTCAGTTCCCAGCACCCATATCAGATGGCTCACAACCATCTGCAGCTCCAGCTCCAGGGGATCTGGCATGTTTTCCCGGCTTCTGCAGGTACCAGGCATGCACATGGTGCACATACTCCCAGACAGACACACAAAATGAAAATAATACACATAATCAAAAATAAAATCCCAGAGATGGAAGCAGATGCTGAGATCCACAGCCAGCTCCCAGGCAGAGCTCCAGGAGTCCAATCGACAAGAGAGAAGAGGGATTGTATGAGCGAGAGATATCGAGACCATGTTTGGAAAAAGCACCGAGACAACTAGCCAAACTAGTGGAAACATATGAACTGTGGACCAATAGCTGAGGAGCCCCCATGGTACTGGACTAGGTCCTCTGGATAAATAAGACAGTTGTTTAGCTTGAACTGTTTAGGGGGCCCCCAGGCAATGGGACTCTATGAGCTGGCTTTTTGGAACCTAGTGCCTATGGTGAGACACTTTGCTCAGCCTTGGTGCAGGGAAGAGGGACTTGGACCTGCCTCAACTGAACGTACCAGGCTCTGCTGACTCCCCAGGGGAGACCTTGCCTTGGAGGAGGGGATGGGGGACAGGAGGAGGGAGGACAGGGAAATCTGAGGTTGATATGTAAAATGAATAGAAGATCTCTTAACAAATAAAATAAAATAAAATAAAATCAACCTTTTCCTAAAAGCCTCAGTGAGATACTACTATCCACCCTCACAGAATGGCTAATGTTAGAAAGACTGATCTTATCAGGTCTTGCAGAGGATATAGGGAACTGAGGTGTTTGTCATAAAATTCTATTTGTAAATAAAATTCTAAAAGGTAGACTGGTCTACAGGAAAAGAAAGCAGACCCGTGGGTTGCTGGGGGTGAAGGCAAGGGGCTGGCATAGTGGGAGGGGGGAATTTGGGGGCATGATGGATAAGCCCATTATCTTAATTGTGAAGACAGCTTCCTGGCTGTCTGTATATGTCAAAGCTTATTAACATACACACTTTAATTATGTACAGTTTGTTGCATGTCAGTTATTGATTAATAATGCTGCTTAGGAAAGAGGAGGGTGGGATCTGGCTCACCCAGCACCTGGATCAGAAAAGGTAGCCCAATACAGAGACTGTCTGGAAGAACGGGAACAGGTCCTACACTACCTGGTCCCATGATGTCCCTGCATTGTGCACATGCCCATTTCTCCTCATTGCCCTGTCATTGTCAGAGCAGGCTCTTCCCATCTGCCCAGGCAGCCCTCTTGAGATTCTGCTTGTCCTTGATCTAAGGGAGCGTTTCAACCCCTGTGAAGCCTTATGGAACACACACACCTACCAGCATTGTGTTCACCTTAGGCACGGCGACAGCATTTCTTTGGTACCTTTCTCCCCAGATCATCCACGATGAGTCTTGCTCCATAGAAGACAGACATATGAGACATTCAGTCAGCATTGGGAACTGCTGTCATGGCTCTCTGGAGGCTTCCACTGCTACAAACTTAAAATAACTTATCCCTTTTACATATTTATTTATTTGTGCCCGTGGTGAATTCACAGGTGTGTAGGTATGTGTGTATGTATGGAGACAGGAGGTCCACGTCAGGTGTCTTCCCCACTTATCTTCCACCTTATTTCTGAGACATGGTCTCTCACTGAACCAAGCCTCCGGGGTTCTCCGGTCTGCTCCTGCCCCCAGCACTGGGGTTATAAGTAAGGGCATCCACACCTGGCTTGTGCTTGTTTGCCTGGGTTGAAGTCGGTCCTCAAGCTTGCAAGGCTAGCGCTTCACCCACGGAACCAGCTCACAGTCCCTCACCGGCATAGCTGTTTTCCCACCTCGCTTCAGAGGGCCGGGGGCATGCACATAGCGTCTCTGCACCAAACAGAATTCTACCTACCATGAAATCACACAGGCTTCTCTTTGCCCTTACCCAAACCCTCACAAAGTATCCTCTGGGTTCTCTTCAAATCATAAATCAGTGTCCTCTGGCCTCTAGCGTAATAACTCATTCCCCAACTAACATCACTGCAAAGCCCTATTGCCGGCTTCCCAGGGTCTCTTGACCCTTGCAGCCTTTTCTTAACCTAGCACTGAAACGATCCCTCCCAGAGTTCCACAGGCAGATGCCACATCCCTGCCCAAACCTTTTCTCTGTGTTCTCCATGTTCTTTTGAAGGTGCTGAGATTAAACTAAATCCTCTGGCTAAGTGCATGACCTGGTGCTGGCCACCTTTATTGACCTAGCCTTATCTGTGTCAAGCGGGCTCTGACTTTCCCATCTCAGGCCTGTGGCACAGACCTGTCCCTTGTCTGGGCCCCCTCCCTCCCTTTCTCTTTGTTTAGTTTACTGAAGCAATAGGCTGTCAGTTTCCAGCACTGGACTCTTGAGAAATAATGAATGAATGAATGAATGAATGAACGAATGAATCTCAAGGGAGATTTGAGGGGCTAGCTTTTTGCCGTGTCCTTTGTCCTTGTGACCTGGCATTCTATTGTATGGTGCCCATTTCCTAAGTCAGGCTGGCTCTTACCGCTGCGTGTGTTTAGTGTGGCAGTATCTTTTGCTTCAGAAAGCTGCCCCCTTAGGAATTCATTCTTGCGATGACACGTTATGTGGAAATGGAAGTAAAGGTCTCATCTTTGTGTTGTCTAATAAATGATTGTCTGACCCTTGATTTCTGGAAACTTCTGTCTGGTTTCTCAGCTATGATTTCCCTTCTGATGATAAGCAAGTATTATTTTTCTCCTCTCTCTCTCTCTCTCTCTCTCTCTCTCTCTCTCTCTCTCTCTGTGTGTTTTTCTTTCTTTCTTTCTTTTCTAAGATTTATTTATTTATTATGTATACAGAAGAGGGCACCAGATCTCATTACAAATGGTTGTGAGCCACCATGCGGTTGCTAGGAATTGAACTCAGGTCCTCTGGAAGAGCAGTCAGTGCTCTTAACCTCTGAGCCATCTCTCCAGCCCCCTCTCTTTTGGTTTTTCGAGACAGGGGTTCTCTGTGCGGTTTTGGTACCTGTCCTATATCTCACTCTGTAGACCAGGCTGGTCTCGAACTCACAGAGATCCCCCTGGCTCCGCCGCCGCCGCCACCACCACCACCACCACCACCACCACCCGGCTTTTTCTCATCTCTTTAGTGTGGTTTCTCCTTAACTCAGACCCCAAGCTTTCTAGGGACCGATGTGATGTCTCACACTAAACTCCAAGGACTTGGGTTAAGCACAGGAAAGAAGGGGAGAAGGCCCAGAGGAGAGGGGGGTCTGATTCCTGGCCCTCCCCAGCACGCCCCACAACATCTGGTAGCACAGCTGTGGTATAGCCCTGACCTCAAGGGCCAGCTGTGCTTTGATGCCCCTGAGTTCCAGACCGGGCCTCCCAGCCCTTGGGTATCCCCGAGTATCCCCAAGGATGTGGGACCCTCTCTGGTATGCAGTCTGATTCCAGCAACCAGGATTGTATCTTATCCAGTGAATGAGTTTTCCACATCCCACCTCACCCCATTCTGCTTCATCCTGGACCCATGGACTCACCTGAGCAGATGCTTCAGCTCACTGCATTCAGAAGTTCACTGGACCCAGGGGTTTCCATGCCCATCCCCCACCACCAGCCCCTGGGCCTCTGGACCTGTTTGCTGAATCATGAATGGCATGGGGTTCCCCATAGTCTGCAACTCTGGCTATGTCAGGCCAGGCCAATTTAGTCTTCTTCATTGTAGTTTTGTGTTTTGTTACTGGTGTGGCTCGTGTGACTTGGCTTCTCTCTCTTCTCTTGGCAGTTTCCTCATCTGCAGAGAGAGGATGAGGAACTCAGCTTGTTGGATAATTAAAAGCAAAGTCTAAAGGGAAAGGATTGAATTGCTAACCCTGGCTCCCCAGGACCACAGCCGGGCCAGGGGCAAACCTTTGGTGCTGTCGGGGGGGGGTGGTGCTGTTGGGGGTGCTGTGGGGCTGGAGGAGAGGAAGAGGATGTGCTGGTAGCGAGCAGGCAAACTGAAACAAGGTCATCATTTTAACAACTGGACCACCACAGATGTGCGTGCCGCATGGTGTCTAGCATGGAGATGTGTCAGGAAGACCAGTCAGTGCTTGACTCAGGGGCAACATCTGTGTGTGCTGCTACCTGCTAGTAAGTGCAGACTTGCACTTTTAACAAGCTCTAATATTTAGCATTTACCTGCGTGTGTGTGTGTGTGTGTGTGTGTGTGTGTGTGTGTGTGTGTGTGAATACCATCCACCACCAGAGTCAATTTCAAGCAGCCAACGAGTCCTCTATAATTGCTGTGTTAAAAGAGATCTGTTGAGGCCACCCTCGTGTAGAAGTCCCATCCATCAGCTGCAGTGTCTCTAAATAAACTCAGCCATACAATCAGAGGAAAAGCCAGCAAAATAACACAAGTGTTTTTACTTTCTCTTTCTCTCTTTCCACGTGGGGCGGGGCTTCAACACCAGGTGTTTTCCTTAATTAATCTCCACCTTCTCTTTTGGGACATGGACTCTCACTGAACCTGGAGCTCGATGACTTGGCTAGGCTGCCTGGCCGATGAGTTCCAGGAATCCACTTGCCTCCACCCAAACACATCCCACTGTGGCCAACTTTTTGCACAAGTGCTGGGCACCCTAACTTGGGTCTTCATGCTTGTGTGGCAAAGCAGTGTGCTGACTGATTCAGCTCCCCAGCCCCTTTCATTTTGTAATGTAAGTTTATTGTAAGTTTACATAATCTAATTTCCAATAGTGTCTTTAACAACCCGCTTGCCAAATTTGCTGAAGTTTAATG